AGCAACCTTTTTTTTAAAAAAATGAATAATCAAGGAACTATGTATATTAAAAAATGTGTCTAACGCCACATATTTCAGTGCACAGTAGGCAGGACAAATCCCTCACCCCAAATGGCAATCTTAGTGTTCAACAGCCTGCCAGTCTAATGCAAGACTGACTGGCACCCGTGACAAAGTACTGAATGGAGAACAAGCCACCTTAACAGATGGGCAGTAAGTATGTTTGTGCCTCATGTGGGTTACAGGATGCACAGACGGAGTGTCTGAACATCTGTTTGCTTTAATTTACATGCTTATGTTTTAAGGAAATGCTCCGTCATTAATCCAGCCCAGGGTTGGATTACAGTTTTTTGAAATAACAAATGCTAGCTGGGAAGTCATAAGGAGAATTTCATATGTGTCCGTTGCATTTAGGGGAAAGGGCAGAAAGAGAGACGTTGAAATGAATTCTAATGAAGCTCTTACCCTGGATACAAAGTATGTAGGTCTTATCATTTTAATATAAATTCTCAGTTACTATTATATATTTTAGTTCTGCTGAAGTTCTGTTTGTTAAGAAAGGAATGAGTTTAAAAAGAACTCGCTATCTTTGATAAGACCTTCGTCCAGAGTTTGCATTGGTATAACAGATAAAAGGAAAGTGGCATTTCCCTTTGCTCTGTTTGAATAAGTATATAGAACAAGGGCATTTTTAAAATAAAAAAAGTTTTGCTCTCTGTAAATATTTTCCATGTGGATGTGATATTCATTTTGTTGCACAGCAAATCCCATAACCATTCCTCAGTGCCAGCTTTAGACATTTTTGCACCTAAAGCAAATAGTGAAAAACCCCTCTCCCCCTGCAATGAACTGCAACATATCAAGCTGGAATAGTCATTTTCATTGGGTAGCTTTGAGAATTCCCCAAAATAAGTCTTCTGAAGCCAACATATGACTACAGTCTTATAAAGGATGGTTACTTAAGCTAGTAACCATGTACAGGCATGCACACAAATTATCTTTAAGAAAAAGCTGGTGCCACCTGTTCCTCTTTTTTAGAGAGTTACCTTTTATATTTCAGGAAAAAAATTCAATCTACATTCAGGTGAAATTGCTGTTTCGTAGATAAGGTAGCAAAACAATCCCAACAAAGCTAAAATAAATGTACCCCAAAAGAGAAGAGTAGCAAAACTACCAAATGACTTTATTTTCCCATTGACACATCATGTTCCTATAGCGTCACATAGGAATGCCATTTCTAGACATTAATTCCCCATTTTCCGATATAATATGTAATGGTCTCTGAAACTTGTTCTATAATTCTCCCAGGTGGAAATTATTTAAACACCATATATACACACACTGTATATTATGGGGGCAATGGGAAGGCCTGAATTAGCCCTTGGAAATCACCCAGTCTGGCAAAAAATAATGCTGACAGCTGTGACAGTGTTGCAGAATATGCCAGGTTTTCCCCATTGAAGGGTTATTAAAAATCTACTAAGTGCTTCATCAGAATTATAAATATTATCCAAACCTCTAGCTCATCCTGAAAGTAGAAAAATTGAAAAAGACAAGCTCACCAGCTGCTGAGTAGATTCCCCCCCCCCCGTAGCAATTGCTTTGCTGTTACTAAACTATATAATTCAATAATTAGAAGTCAGTGAAATAGATCAGGGAGGTATATGTTTGCGGGGAAACACTAACTTTCTTTTTCATCCTATAATTGATAAGGGAAAACATTAAGGTGAATGTGGAACCTATTTTATTGTCCACAAAGATAGGGTTTAATTGGTTCATGCTACTGTCTCCTCAGCAGAAATCCAAATGGGCACAGCAAGTAGCCTTAGCATTGGCCATTTAGCACTGTTGACTGTCTTAAAATGGAAGCGGCTTCATAAGCGGACTGAATAAATGCTCACAGATTACTCATACTTGAGTAATTATTTTTTAAAACCATCAGAAGGGCAAACAGAAGGCTCAGACCTTTGCGGAAGCCTTGCCATCTGCCTTGAAAAGAATCCCTGATCCCTAACGCTCCATGCCTGTGTGTGTGCGTGTGTAGAGAGAGAGAGAGAGTGGGGAAAATACCCTGCCAGTCATTTGGTGGTGAACAAAGTACTCTAAGCATGCCTGGAGCAACTTCACTTTTATAAAATACCGGTACCATTCAAATATTCTGGGGGGTCAGCCCTAGAGAAGAAAGCAGATTCTGGTGCTGAACATGAGAGCCAGAACAAATTGAGTCCGAGATCAACCATCCTCTGCATATGGATGCAACTCGTTAACAAAAGTTTGAAATGTGCCAAGGATGAAGCAGAGGATTAACACTGATTATCACCACGAAAATATTTGTAAATGCTGAAGGTATGTCACAGTCGTTTCTGCAGGCAGTGCAGGTGGGCTGACAAACCAGCAGCCGAAACAACAGCTTGTTTCTGGTTTTCTTGAACAGTTAGAATAAACTGCCATTCTGCCAGTTTGGATTTAACAGGAAGGTGCGCCTTATTTAAAACCAATAGAGGAAGCTTTCAAGCATCTCCTTTCATGTGCAAAAGAGGAGCGAGCAGGCAGTGGTGGAGCTTCATGCTCCGGCACCGGGGGATGGAGAGCAGATGGTGGCGTGGTGCATGTCCTGGGTGTGTGGCACGGCACCTGCGGGGGCATGGTGCCCAGCGTGGGGGGGCAGCAACGATGGCACCCCACCGGGATCGTGCTGCCGGGGGCGGTATGCTCCCCCCCTCACTCCTCTTCCTCCGCCAGTGTGAGCAGGGGCTGTTATGTGAGTGCAAAGTTTGACATGGATTGTAGCATTGAGCCTTTGTGCATATCCTCTAAGCCACAGAGACTAATGTTCTTTATTCCAGGTTGTTAGACTGACAGCCTGCAACTGCAGACCTGCAAGTTTTCCCCATCTCTCTCACACACCTAGCAGTAATAGCGCACAAAGGAAGGTGACAAAAGAAGTCACCGTTGTCTTTGCAATAAGTCTTATAAATTGACCTCAACTTTTTTCCTTGCTATTGGCTTCAACCCCAAGGTCCACACTTGTAAGATCAATACGAAGTTGTAACTTTCCAAGGGTCTTGCAGGAGAAGGGAAATGTTTAGTAGCAATCCTCAGGCAGTGAGCCAAGAAACCGAGTTTAAAACACTCCTAAGAGTTGGTATTTGAGGGATGAAATACTATGTATATTTTCAAAGACTTCAGGAAACGAGTGTCTGTATTTCATCCACTCCACACTGGGAGATGAGCCATAACTCAGTGTTACAACACATACTTTGAATACAAAAGTCACAGCGTCTCCAGTTAAAAACTTGGGAAAGATCTTTGGAGAGCTGCCATTGGTCAGAGTAGAGGCTTTGCAGACCAATGGTCTAACTCAGTATGAGACAGTTTTATATTCTGTAGCCTCCAGTAAGCATGAAATATTTCTGGTGCAAGTGACCTGGAAATTAGCTGACCATTAGCTTTAGTCATTAGCTTCTGTGTACAAGCTGAATTACTATTCAATAGTCATATTGTACCTGCGTTAAATCCTAGCATACAGTGTCACTTAGAAACTATTATCTTCATTTTCATTTCCCAAAGCGTTAAAAGATGTACCACTGCTGTTTAACCAGAGAAAGCATGGGTCGCTAATGGTGAGAAAAGTGGCTTCTTGCTGCATACCCCACAGTTTGTAAGTAGGCTGAATTATTTGGAATGAAAGAGAATACATGAATGCAAACTAATAACAATAATTATTTTTGCAGGTAGCAAGGGGCTGATAGAACAGCAAAACCCATTTCATAAATTGACCTGACATAGAATATCCATTACTCTCTGTCGAAGTTACCTATTTTAAGGTTAAATGCATTTGAAAAAGAAAGCAAGAGAGAGGGAGGAAGGGAAGCAAAGAACATTAAACATGAAGCAGAAACACAGCAGGTTTGGTTCTTGGGACTTTTTGACATCCCAGTTATTTGTGCGTAAAAAACAGATTATGTTTAAAATAATGATACTGTAATATATGGTTATATTTCATCATCTCAAGCAAATTTCTTAACTGCCATCTATCAAAAGAGTAAGAAATAAAAGGAAAAGCAGTAAAGGAGAAAATATATAAAACTTTATGAAAGTGATAGTTATCGTCCTTTCTGCAAAGAACTAATCATATTGATACTTCAATAACTTAAACATGCTTCTTAATACCTTCCAGATCGCCATGAACTTTCTCACTGAAGATCTGTAGCAGTGTCATTCACATTTTAAAAAAGAAGCAAAACAAAATTGAGTTTTGTCTATAGCTAACGTTATGGCCATGCTGGTTAAAGTTGGGTTGAGGTGGGGCTCTCAATTCTATGATAATTAAAATGGGATCTAAGGGACACATATAGGATTTGTTGTCAAAGATCTAACTGAAAGCTTCGTATTCTTATTCCTTCATTTAGCTGTGGGAATTTTAAACTAATTTGCAGATGACCCTTTCTCTCACTCACAAACGCAAAAACAGAATGTGATGGAACTAGCTTCAAAGCACTTTAGGACCTGCCATAATGCTTTTAGATTCGTTTTGAAAGGGCACTGGTATGGGGTGGGGAGGAATTTATTCGTGTATTTCTGTATTTTTGGAATAGTTATAATTGTATAGTTGAAGATTACTTAATGGTTTCATTTAGGTCACACAAGTGCTAAAAACCACATGGCCAGTATCACATTTTAAAAAAAACCCAGATGTGCTGGCCTACAGATGTGCACTGTTGACACACCAGCAGTGCCCAGCTTGGGTAGCTGTGCAGGTGGCACATAGATATATACGCATGGGCTGCTGCATGTAGCAAACACCTATTAAATGTAATACTGGCTACACTCAACTGAACCGCAGACAAGTGCTTTTTGGTGGGGCAGCATCAATCATGTGAGTGCATGATAGCGGCTAAATTGGGGCCCCACGTGCATTATACATTTAAAGCAGAATCATTCCACTTTAAACAAAGAACCATCCAAAGAACACTGGGAACTATTGTTTAAGAATGCAAAGGTTTGTTAGGAGATCCCTATCCCCCTCACAGAGCTACAATTTCCAACGTTCCCTGGGAAGAAGGAGTGACTGTTAATTGAGAATTGTAGCTCTTTGAGGGGAATGGTGGTCTCCTAACAACCCTCAACACTCTTGGCTACCTAAAACGTGGAGAACTTCTCCATGTTCCTTTGAATTACCCAAACACAAACAAGCACTCATGAGCAGCAAAGACCGGGCTTTTAAATAATAAATCACAAATAAAAATACACAGAGGAGGATGTGATTAGTGTACTTTGTATTATGTCCAAACATTTTATTTTAATTTAATTTGTTCTTGTCAAACATCAATGCTCTCCTCTCAAAGTGTGAATGTATATGTTGCACAAATGTATTCGAGTCAGACTTCGATGTCCTAATAAAAAAAATTCTTGCTATAAATTCCAATGTTTTGCTTTAGTCTCCTAACTCTTCAATATTTAGTAGCACCCTGTGGTACCTTATATTTAATGTAAATGGAATAGCTTGAAGCAATTATAAACTTTAGAGCTAAAATAGGATATGTGGCGACAAGAGCTATATATTTCTGTGGAAGTGATTCTATGAAAGCTATAGCACAACATATAAACACAGACTGCTGTTGTGGGGTAGTGACTTGCAGCGCTAGCAGAGAGGCACATGAATACCCTGCTCCTTTATATTGAAACCTGCCCAGTAGCTCCCTTTGGCACTGTAACCCTTTCAGCTGTCACACAGCACAGACTAGCGGTAAAGGGTCAGCGATGCCACCTGGACAGTACTTTGGGCAGAGGCCCAGGGCCCCAGTCAGCAGAAGGCCTCATTTTCACATAAGAGACAGTTGAGTCCAAATGGGCCCACAGTTTGAAGTTCTGAGTAGCCTTACACTTACAATGAAATCTAAAATAACAGAGCACATATCCTTGGGGGGAAATAGGCTCGTCCCACTGGTTAACACAAGGCTTGCTATCCTTGGACTGATGGCTTAATCAATGTACATTCATGGAGGAAGCGTTTGAGGAGCCACTTTGGCTTTTGTGTCCATAGAAGCACCCATTATAACAACGCCTAGAATGGAAGCGAGGTGGAACTTGGTTACAGAGCAAAATACACATATGTTAAATAAATAAATGAGATGAATGGACTTATTTCTTCAGTAGGGCCAATTTCAAATAAATATCTTTTTATAAGTACAGTGGTACCTCAGGTTACAGATGCTTCAGGTTACAGACTCCGCCAGCCCGGAAGTAGTACCTCGGGTTAAGAACTTTACCTCAGGATGAGAACAGAAATCACACGGTGGCGGCGCAGCTGCAGCGGGAGGCCCCATTAGCTAAAGTGGTACCTCAGGTTAAGAATAGTTTCAGGTTAAGAACGGACCTCCAGAACGAATTAAGTTCTTAACCCGAGGTACCACTGTATACTTAAAATGCTGTATAATGGTTACTTACAACATTACAACACTGAACACATAAAGAAATCAGGAGTTAACCAATTTGCACAGTGAAGTGTTATAGCATTCATAAGTGAGATGTTAGTTTATGCCCAATGCCTTGTGATTTTCTAAGTGCTTCAGGGATCTTTCCTGCTTTTAAAATATTTGAAGATACATATTTTTGATGAATACACAGTGCATTAGCTGCTGGGGCTGTACAGCGTGTGAGCACTCTGGTCTTACATTTCAATTCTAAACATTTATATAACTGTCAATAAGGCATGCATATATTCACTATGTGATTTCGTTGGCAAAATGTTTGTCACCATTTAACATTAACTATCAGGTTTCAAAACATGAACATAATTTCCCTAGAGTGCTGTTAAATTATCAATTTTACTGGGACTACAATGTCATTCTCATTTGATTCCCTCCCTCGTCCCACAATAAACTATAGGAGCCATTTATGAACACAGCATTGTTGACCCTTTGCTAAGAAAACTGACTTCTTGCTCCCCTAAGTCAGGCTCCCAGGCATTTGCAAAAATTAGCTCAAAGTTCAAAGCAGGGCATGAAAACAGAGACAATCTGTCGTGGCTTATAAGGCACTGCTCTTCTCACACTCTTGTGGGTGGTACACATATTTATGCAGCTTTAGATAATTTTAATTTGCGTCAAATTGTTTTCTTTGAAAATGATCTAGACAAACTCTTTTTCCTTTTTATATAAAAAAGAAGTGTTCTTTTATGTGTCTGCATGCCTCAGAAACACGTCACTTCATTGCTTTGGGATAGCTTTCTATTTAAGTAGAATGTGGATAGCATTAAATTTTATTGCTGGCCAAAATGGTGAATTTAATCTGTATACATATATACAAGTTGCAGAATCACATGATTTTAATACTGAAAGACATCTTAAGACAAAATAATGATGATGATGATGATGCATTTTGGTCCGATAATAAAAATGTTGTTCACAACATTACACTGCCAAGCTAAGGCTGAAATCCTATTTTCTCTTGGCTGGGAAGTAAACAGAACTTACTTCTGAGCAGACATGTGCAGTAAGTACTACAATGTTAATCGCAGCCAAAATCCCTATTCCAGAGACCCATGTGCTCTTCCAATCAATATACAGTGTTCTTACATGAGAAAGGTTCTCCTTTTATTTCAGCTAAGTGGTGTGCAGTACTCAAGACTGAAGTGAATTGGAAAGCTGTAGTTGGTAGGGAAACTCTGTATCACCATCAAAGAATCAATGCAAACCCTTCAACCACTAAGGATTGCTAGATTAGTGTGAATATCCCAGTTCTTGGGTCAACAATAAGATTTACTGCAAGTCTGAAAGTCAATATAAGATGGCTAATTAGCAAAGGAACAGCACTTTAAGTACTGTATGTTATTGTGTTTGTGATCTACTGGCATTAGCAAAGGGATTAAGCTGTGAATATATCTGGCTACAAATCATCCTCTATGCCAGAGATCACCAACCCAGTGCTCACAGCTGCCATGATGCCCACCAAGGCTCTTATTGGCATTTCTGTGGCATCTGCCAATCTAGTTGCCTCTTCTTGCTTTGCCCCAGGAAGGGGTTTCATTGATTTATCATGTGGGGGGCAGGCAGGGAGGTGGAAGAAAAAGTGATGGAGGTTACTTCATTGGCCTGATCATGTGCCTCCAGCCACATGGAGATGAAGTGGGCAGAGAAGGGCTTTTTATTTCTTTTAAAAGGGGGAGTGAGGAAAAAGAACAGCAGGGATAATCCCTTTTGCAGGATCATTTGCCCACTACCCACAGGGAACTGACAGCAGGCAACTGCTCAGCCCTACAGAGGGCCATTATTTTGTTTGATGTTTGGTGGAGTGATGGGGATGGCCCCATTCACTAGTGGAGTGTGTATGAGCAGCAAGGTATGGATGTGGAGAGTGGTTCTTGGACACATTCTCTACAATATGTTCATGGGCATCTTGTGTGACAATGAAGAGAAAATCACGGGTACTTCAGAAAAATGGATAAAGAGCTAAGAAAGATCTGGACAAAAGTGGTTAAGAAGATCAGAAAAGTCAAATTCTGAAAGCAAGATCAAGATATACACAGTCTGTCAATTAGGTATGCAGTCTAGGAGTGTTATTGTACTCTTCAGCCTCAGCGGCATGAGGGACCTTCTACCTCCTGATGTTGATGCACTGACTGCAATCTCCCCCTGGACCAAGATAGGCTGGCCATGTGTACCCATGCACGCCTAACCTCAAGGTTGGACTACTGCAAAATTATTTTGAGTGTTTTAGAAGTTGAACTGCCTTTGAAACTGCACCAATACAGAACACTGCAGTAGAATTTGGACCAGGGATTTGGCAAATACATATCATGCCTTCATTGAAACAACTCCAGTGGCTCCCGGGGAGTTTCTGAATTCAATTCAAAGCACTTTGAAGTCCTGCATTGACTTAGAACACAGATATCTGCTGGACTGACTTTCCCTGCAGTCATCTGCCCATTTGCTGTGATCCTAGTCTGAAGCCTGTCTCTGGGTTTTAAGTGCAGCAGGTGGCAACCAGATGCAAAGACTTTTCTGAGGGGCTTCTTTGCTTCCAAAGTGCCCTCCTGAAGGAGGCCTACCTAGAAACCTCATTGCTATCATTGGAATGTAAGTGATATGAATCAGTAACCATGCTGATCACCTAATGCTGTTTTTCCTTCCTTTCAATTACTACATATTAAAGGCAATTTATTAAACAAAACCTCATGCTTTCACAAAGAAATTGGCTGGTTCCTTCAGCTCTAGCATCTCCAAGCTGCAGGGGCTAGAAATACTGAAACAGCATGCCAAATGCTCCCAAATTAAAATTTTCTGGATGTTCCTCTGTATTCCCTACTGTACATTTATTGTAAAGAAGGCTTGAGCAACATGTTGCACTGAGCTGAACACATCATCCATGTTCTGTGGCCTGCTGGATGCTTATCAGTTGCTTGTCTTTTGCTGTGCAAGATTTTTGGTGAGTTGTAGGCTTTTGCTCAAAGAAGGTAGTAGCTTTAATTAAGAGGTGATGGAGGAGGATACCGTATTTTTCGCCCTATAGGACACACTTTTCCCCCTCCAAAAATGAAGGGGAAATGTGTGTGCGTCCTATGGGGTGAATGCAGGCTTTCGCTGAAGCCTGGAGAGCGAGAGATGTCGGTGCGCACCAACCCCTCTCGCTCTCCAGGCTTCAGGAAGCTATCCGCAAGCCTTGGGAGCCCGCGGGAGTTCCCGCCGGGCTCCCTAGGCTTGTGGAAAGCAGCCTGCATCCCGAAGCCTGAGGGGCGCTGAGCAGCGTGCCTCGGGCTTCGGGCAGATATCTGCAAGCCTGGGGAGACCGGTGCGACTTCCCACCAGGCTCCCTAGGCTTGCGGATAGCAGCCTGCATTCCAAAGCCTGGGGGGCGCTGAGCAGCCTGGGGGGGGAAATATTTTTTTTCTTTATTTCCCCCCCCCAAAAAAAAAACTAGGTGCGCCCTATGGGGCGAAAAATACGGTATGTTTTCCAGCAAGGAGAAAGGTCTTGCTGACAATGAATTAACAACTCTGATGCTACACACACTCACAAAACAGGAGATTCTCTTATACAGAATTATTAAAACACACAATGTCAGGTAGGATTTGATACGACTGAATGAGTTTCATTCCTGAATGAGTATCTACAAACTTGTCACT